ACCACATAATTATGGTTTGCAAATAAATGTGAGCTTACTTTTAGTTTAGTCAGAAATATTTAGCATCTAAATTAAAAATCAGACATGAATAAGCAGGAAAGAATGTTTTTCAAATAGAGTTGGTTAAAACTCCCCAACAACAGCAATGCTAAAACCTATCACCCCGATTGCTCCTTTGTTTGATAATCAACTTTATACTCTCAGGCTGGGTTGCCCTCTCTCTGCAGAAGTTGCCCTACATCTGTCTGCCACCTGCCTGCCAGCTATTTATAGTACATCCTCCCCCAAGCTCTGTGTTCTGACTTGTGCTTTCTGGAATAAGTAACTGCCCATGGAGGAAGAAAGGTTTGGTTGGGGAGTAAAGTGCAAGACAGTATTGAAGCTTCTCAAATTTAAGGACTTAACTTCAGCAGGTTTTTGTCAGAGAAAATTTCTAAGAGGTTATCAGTGAACAAAAAAACACAACTATACAAAGGAGCTACTAATAAACACAAACACCCTCATTTCTTCAGGGTGAGATTCTACTGTGAAATATACTAAAGTATATAAGCATGGTAACCAGTCACCATCAGCAAAAGCTCTTATGCCAGTAGATACATCATTACTGTATTTTTGTAATTGTTTACTCCTTTAGGTCACACCTCAAATATAAAATATGTCTGTGCTTAAGTCTGTGCAGTGCCAAAGCACCCTGCGATGTTTCTTCAAAATCCCAGCATTTAGACAAATCTAATATTTTTTTGATTTTCCTGCTTCCCACTTTTCATTTTATTTTTAAGAAACATCTTCTCTGACTATTATCAAAAAGACCAGAGATAACCAATGTTGACAAGGATGTGGAAAAAAGTGAAGCCTTGCCAACTATTGTTGGAACTATAATAGGTGCAGCTATGAAAAGTGGTGTGAAGTTTACTGAAGAAATTGAAAAAGAATGACCATATGATTCAGCAGTCTTACTTCTGGGTATTTCTATAAAGGACACAAAACCATTTTCTCTAAGGGATAGCTGTACACCCATGTTCACCAAAGAATTATTTACAGTAGCCACAGAATAGAGAGAACCAAACTGTGTGTCAATGGATAGAGGGACTGGGAAATTAACAGAATTTTATTAAGCCTTTTAAAGAAAAAAAAAAAAAAAGACCATTTCTGCTGGCGCAGCACAACACTATGAAGTTACTGCAGCTTCAGCTTTGGCAAGAGTTCGATTCCCGGCCAGAGAGGTGGCCCACATGTCATGCAGACCTCTCCTGTCTCCCCTTTACTCCCCTCGGCTCCCTTCGGCAGTGTATTTCGTTGATCTGCCTGTTCTGCTCCCCACTCTGTCTCTGGTGAATCCTCTCACTGCCCCTGCACCTCTGGCCTGTACTCCAGTTCTGTATGCAGAAATAAATAAATATTTTTAAAAAGACAGTTTTGTCATCGCCAACAACCTGGATGAAACTGAAGTACATTTTAATGCATAAAATAAACCAGACCGAAAAAGACAAATACTTCATGGTATCATTTCTAGGTGGATCCTTAAAGAACTATTGAACTCATAGAAACAGTTGAAAAAGTCTGTCAGGGACTTAGGAAGTAGGGTAAATATAAAAGGTTGGTATAGAATGCAAGTTTTCAGTTACAAGATAAATTGGTGGATTTAGAGTAAAAAATGATGACTGCTACTAACAGTAATTGTAGAGCTGAAACTTTTGAGGAGAGTAGTACTTACATGTTCTCAAAAACAAATAGGAATGAAGATAAAGAAGCAAGGTGGTGGTAGACGTGGCAGTTAACTTTATTGGGGGAATTGTCTATGTACATCAAGTCATCATACACACTTTAAATATATTACAATTTTCTCAATTATACTGCAACACAATTGAAAAAATAAAATAGGCCTATACCAGGTGATTGGAAGAAGTAAAAAAAGAAACAGCTGCTAGTAATATAGATCCCATCCACACATGTACGTTCTTCTAATTTCCCTCTTGAGTTATCACTATCATTTCCAAACAGTGTTTGTCACAGATAGTGAAGAACAAGTTTTGTCTAGATCAATGTTTTTCTTTAGAAGAGTTCTTAATGTTATCTATAAATCTTAATAGCGTGTGCCTTTCCTAACTATTAAGCAATGAGGTATTAGAGCATTTGTTTTTGAAGAAGCTAAGCAAATCTATAAAATATGACAAACTCAATTGACACATCTATAAAACTGTTTTATTGGGATTATGAAAGAAGCATTGCTGAAAGCAAAAAACAGTAATTAGGATTAAGCAGAATATTTAAGTCTATTTGATGCGTTTCATACTGATTCTGAATATTTGGCTATGTTTGCACAACACAGAATGAAAGACAGTTGGTTTTATCCAGGTTAGTTTAACAGAATAAATAGCAAATATAAATAATGTAGTTTCCCTGGATGAGTTCCCTAAAATTTTTTAAATTACTGCTTGACGTTAACTCACTTTGTGTTTGATAAATAGCAGGATTTATATAGTCTCTTAATCAATCAATATTAGCTAATGTGAAAAATTTTATGTTCACTATTGAGTGCATATTCCACATTTCATAGAAAATGACAAAGTAGAATGCATTATTCATGAAATAATTCAGAAAATTGTAGTATATCAGACAACAAAATGAATCACACAGAAATAGCTAAATTTCAGTAAAGAAGTTACAAGATTTAAAAAATAAACAAATGACAGACATGAGAGACCTGGATTGAAAAGAGGGAATAAAGTGCGTCAGCCTACTCATAAAAAAACTCCAAACAGAGATTAAGATCAGAAATAAATAGTAGGGCAAAGAACCCAGAATGAGAACTGGTTGAATCTGATCCCAGAAGTATTTTGGACTAACTATCATGATGAATCTGTGCAGGAGAACCATAGGGGATCTGTTAGAATATATGAAATATTTTACTGTAATCCTCGCATACTCTACAAGAACTCTCCCTTTTCTAACACTTCTTTCCACCAGGTATTTTTCAGGTGGATACAATCAATACGGATGGGACCTAGAGAAGTTTAGGCATCTGGATTTGGGAGACACCCAATACTCATTAAATAAGAGATGCACTAGAGATACCTACCCAGCTATGACACACTGCAGCTTTATGCAAATAAGAAAAAATATCCTTACTTAGCTACCCCTAAAGAGATGTTTCCAGTAGCCTGTACCGTCCTGACAGTGTAGGTTTAGGGTTAGTGCAATGGAATCGTGAAAAATAAAATGGTCCAGAGAAGAGAACAGGGACCAAATAAATCCCTTTAATGTTTTTCTTACTTTGGCAAATGAAAATGAGTGCTTGGTTAGATGAAGTACATTTTCAGTTAATGTGTCCTGCCCATGTCTGCTGAGTGACACACGGCGGGCTGTCTCTTATTTCAGAGCCGTGGCCCCCAAGGATCTAGTCTGTTAGTCTGTGTCATTAAGTAAGCCAGGGTCACAGAGTGATTTTTGGACTTAATTTAAAATCCTCTTTTTAATAGTTCTCTAAACATATACATCTACATGCTGCCTAAAAGACTCATTTATTCAGAGCTAAATACATGCTTCTATAAACAATAAGTAGATAATATTTTCATCACAACTGATCAAAAATAGGTGTCATAAATTTAGCACATTATACAACTGCTTTTATCTTGCTACAGGAATAAATAAATATGTAAATCGTTCTTTTTCTAGCCTGAGATATTTGCTACAAATTATATTGTATTCTATGCATAACAAAAGCATCTCAAAAGAATACAGAAGTCTGGGAACTTCTTTCTCCAAGATGAAGTATCATTTTAGCGTGTTTTTTTTTTAAGGGCACAAATATTCTAATGAATACCCGAATAATCTAAAACATCAAAAAGCAAGTAGAATTTATTGACTATCTTTTGAGAAACTAATAGACAAGGCCATCACTCAGGAAATCTCCCAATGAAACTGCAGATGTCTTTGTCCCGATATGTCTTTGTCCCGATATGGAGTGTGGGGTTGGGGAGCAACCACACCCCACACCTCTCTTTTCTGTTTTTTTTTTCTTTTCTTTAGTTTTTACATCATTCTTAATTTTGTGCATTTTTTCATCTCAGTTGTAATCCCAGGGTGCTTCTCACTACCAATTCACCCATGAGCCATCACCATAGTCCCATGCTCTCTTCCCACAAGAGTTATGATCCCACTCCCCTTTCCACCCCATAACATGTCTCCCACTTAAAGTTGTTGTTTTCATTTCTACTTTATTATATTTGCTTCTCCCCTCCTCCTCCCCCCCACACTGGTCCTTTATGCTCCTGTTATGAGTGAAACCATCTGATATTTTTTTTCTTTCTGCCTTATTTCACTGAGGATGATCCCTTCCAGCTCCATCTGTGTTGCTGCAAAAGGCATGAGTTTGTCTTTTTTGATTGCTGAGTAATATTCCATTGTGTATATGTACTTTTCAAGACAGGAGCTTGCCTATCACTGCCTCCTTCTCTTCATTAGCCTTTCTCCTATTTACATAATATTTTCAAGAGACTCCCCTGTTGAATTTCTGAAAATCAGTGTTCCTCTTTGCTTTTTTACAGATCTTTACTCCTAAGATCACAAAGTCAGCTCAATGGGGAAAAAAATAGATTTGTGTGAAAAAAATAGGGAAAAAAATTGTGAATACTTTCATGTTTCCGAATTCCATACACAGAACCATATTAGAGAGAAAAAAAAAAAAGTGTTCTAGAGTATAAATTGCTTTAGTCTTTCTTCTATGTGATAACCCATTAGTTGTTCAGAGTGATTTTATTAATTCTTCCAAGTTTATAAGTTTTAATGTATTGTTAGAATTTAATTTGATTTGCAAAATTGCATAGATACTGAAATCATCGATTTAGAAAAACCTTGGGATTTGTATACTTTATACTAGAAAAAACATGCATTTTTTTCCTCAAAGTTACTCCTTACTTTTCAATTGTAATATTATTAATTTTACTAACCTCTAGTTAACATTTTGATAATTAAATATATTAAGTTAATTGTAATCTTACCATTGTTGTCTCTTGAATGGAGCCAAAACTGTTGATAAAAATGTTGACTACTACATCGACAGGAATACCTATGAATAAAAAATTAAATACATTTGTTAGTTGTGAAAAACATGGTCAGATGCTTCATATTTTTATGATTTATGCATTTGAATATTATATTTTTCCAGTCTACAAAGGCTGTAAAATTCAGTCTAACACATTCATAAATGATATTAACTAAATATCACTTAAAATATACAACTTCTAAATGGGGTTATAATCCAAATAAAATTAGTTAAATGAGTTATTAATGTTATTTACTCCAAAATATGTCTTTCTTAAATTGTAGAAAATATAAGAAAACACATGTCTAAAATGTTAAATTTGATTGTTACTTTTAATAAAATATAATTTTTTCTTTAAAAGTCTTAAAAAGTGTTAATTTTTTACATTTTTTTTAATTTTTTACATTTTTATAATCATTTCAAATTCTTATTTTAATTTGTAAAGCAGTATTCAATATATTTTGCTTACAATGACCACATCTTGATTTTTGATTCATGAAAATGCTAAGTTCATCAGACCTATAATAGAGCCATTATAAATATTTTTGCCTGACCTGTTGGGGTAATTTGGAGGTTCATTGAGTGAGACTAAGGTATAATGTTCCAATTTTTTTTCTTTCTTTCTCTTTATTTTCTTCTTTTTGTGGGCTGCTAGTGGGCTAACAAAGGGAACATGTGAATTTAGCCTTTTAGCCACAAAACCACTGACTGATGAAAAACAGGTGGTGAATCAATATATGGTAGAAACGTGACGACCCAGACCAGGGCTGCTGTTGAAAGTAACTGAATAGGTTCTGGTAATGAATAAACCCCCCTGTTTTTACAACATAGTTGTATAACTTCAGTGACTAGAAGCAGCTGCAGATTTGTTTTTTGTCTGTAAAGACGAAAAAAAAAATCTAGCCTTATAATATTAATCTGATCTACATTAATACCTCTTTATAAATAGCAACAAAGATAACAGTTTTGCAAAGACTTTTTTGTCCCCCATGACATTTCCTAATATATCAAGAGTACAGCATAAAGTAAAAGAAAAAAAAAAAATGCACATGCACTATATAATCTCATGGCTTTTATTGCAAGTATTGTTCTTTGATCGCAAGTATGCTGTTATTTTGTTGGATTAAAGATAATTTATGATGTAGAAATCACACTTCTATTCACAAAGTTAACTTAAAAAAAAAAAAATAAAACCAGATAGGCACCTTTTTTTTTTTTTTAACAAAACCATAGAGGGTAGTTTGTTACCAATGTAAAATCTAACAAAAAATAAAACAAAATCTATAAACATCCATCATAACCGTTCACTTTCCTTAAATAAGTGTGTGGACATTCTCCGACAAATTATACTTTGCAATATGTAAACCAGGTCTGCATCTAGAACCTAAATTTTAAATCACTATGATTAAGAAAGCTACAGTTTCAGAGATTTGTCTATTAGTTCATTAATGTATCTTTTTTTGTGTTTTTTTTTTTAACCAGGGACCATATAATTCCACTAAAATTACTATTTTTGCTTTGAATAATTTTGGTATGAAATTGCTCTGATTCTAAGTACTTTATAAGATACGTACATATCTATTTGAATACTTAACTGATTTGAATGTCTACAGATAAAATTAAGTTTTAAACTGCAAAAAATATAGTATTTCTTGGAGAAAAACAAACCTTTGAAATTTGGTCTTATTCTGGGGTCATAACTGACCAATAGCCTATTCAATATATTGCTGGTTGAGTTGGCAGGTACTCGAGCAAGGTCCTCTGCTGACTGCTGGCTAAAGAGGAAAAATAAAACCAGACAAAACTTTGATAAGTATTTAAAAATAACAAGCAAAGAACTAGGTCACTTTGAGTAGAGAAACTGGTTTTCTTAGGCAAGTGCTTAACAACATCACTTTAGCAACTAGAAGGGAATAAAAAGTAGTAGGCAATGTTGGAAGTCCATGAGATTTGTCATTAAAAAATAAGAATTAAAAAATTAGCACTTAATTTTACCAGTGCATAAAACAGTGTCCCAAATATTCTTGTTACTTTCATGTAAATAAAATTAAGGAGGCATTTTGCTTGTCCATCATAATCTAGACAAACAGAGAGAGTGAAGATGATGTAACAGCAAAAGAAAATCAGCTAAAATAGTTTTTGAGTAATATAGAATATTAACCTTCTGCCTAAGCACAGAAGGTCTGTGGATACTGTAGGGTGACATAACTAAGGATGATAGATTAAGTTCCTAAAACCGCTACAAGTATATTTATTAAATAAGATTGTCCAAGAATTCACAATGAATGTTCTCCTTATTGAGAGTAATGTTATCCTGGGGAAATGATAAGAGAATTTTCTCTATTACTATATCAATTAAACAAGGAGTTTAATTTTCAGAGTTACAACTATCTCTTTCATATAAACATATGCATACCATATAAATACATAGCCTATATTAGTCAATTCAGCAGATACATATAAAAGTATATTTATATATACTTGATTCAAAACTGGAGCCTACTAGAATTATATTTTGTTTTGAATATTTTTAACATTAAATTGTTCTGAATGTGTGTGTATCTATATACCTATTTATAACTTATCTACCTATATTTGTTATTGCTATTTTTATTGAATCTTGACCAAGTTAGTAGTTGCTTAAGATCACTTAAAATCATTCACTTTCTTGGAAACAAATGAAATTTTTTTTTTACTCCTATATTTTTCACATCATTGTTTATTTTTCTACAATATGTGCTCATTGCTTTCTCCTTACAAATGAAAACTATTTTGTTGTTTATTGTGTGTTTGGTTTAGTTTGTTATACTACCCATGTAATCATATGTCCAAGGTTAAAAAAGTCCATGCCAATCACAAGGAAACTCTATACTTGGAGCTTCCAACACTGTGGTAAAAGTGCCAATTTCAGAAATGATATTAATTTATATGAAGCATTCTTAGATTAATGGGTTTGGCTTTGTATTGAAATCCCAGCTCTTACCTGTCAGAAAATTCTGTTAAAAAATTCTAAGTTAATAATACAATCTTCTGAGAAGAGACAACCACTACCTTTGGATTTGACAGATATAAAGAGCTCATGAAAAATCTAAAAATACTATGAATTGATACAAATAATACTTCCAAAATGATGTCAGATATTTAAAAAATGAGAGAAAATCAATTAATTAAATTTCATAAAGGTATTAGGATACTATATAGATTTTTTTTCAAAGATTTATTTATTTGTGCATACAGAACTGGGGTACAGGCCAGAGGCGCAGGGGCAGTGAGAGGCTTCACCAGAGACAGAGTGGGGAGCAGAGCAGGCAGACTGACGAAGTACACTGCTCAGGGGAGCAGCGGGCAGGTCAGGAGAAGTCTGCCGCGCCATGTGGTCTCCTCCAGGGCAGGCAGGGATCGAACTCATGCGGAAGTGGCTTCAGTTTCTTAGTGCTGTACTTTAACCTGCTTCGCCACCAGGGAGTGCCGTATATAGATTTTTAAAATTGCTTCTTATGGCCTTAGTGGCTCTAACATCAGTTGCAGAGACTTTCAGACTGGTAATGAGATTTTTCAATGCATTTCAGGTGAAATTGTAACTTCTGTAGAATCAATTGTCATCCCTTATCAAAAGACGGAAGACTCTAAAGAGAATAAGGTTATGAGGGAAAATTGAATATTAGGATGCAAAGTAGTGTTCAAACCTAAATGCACATTTTCTCATGCACAGGAGGAAAATACACTTGTATTGGATCAATTAAGTGCTAATATTGTGACTCTTGATTTAAAATCCTTTACAAGTACATTCCTTCTAAGCAATAAAATGACCAGACAACGAAAGACAATTAGCACTTAATTTTGTAGTCCAGAACATGCCAGCCTGATTCTTTTCCTCTTCCAGCTGTGAAAAGTGGCTGAATGTAACATACCACAAAATGACTTCTTGGCATAAGGATTATGTGGAATTAAAGACATTGAAAAACAGCAGGGAGAGGCTTTCTCTTAACTCCTCTAAACTGCTTAGAAGAAAAATCTGGAAAACATAATTCTATTGTTATAAATCCCCTCCCTGGGAGTTTCCTTGACCAGAGAAGACGGACTCTCACAAGTGAACCTCATACCCCGATAAACTTGTCACAATCACCTCCCACTTTTTCTTCTAAGGGCCTCTTCATCTTTCCTTAAAATCACTTACTGTTCCTTTAGTGTCTCTGCTATTCTCCTCCCCCTATTAAAGTTGTATGAGTGTACATAAGCTCTTAAATAGCACCCTTTTGAATACTGTTTTCTATTTATGCCTTGACCCCACCACATGCATGTAAAATTAATACATTTATACAATTTGTCTACTATTAAATGCCTATTGTCAGCTTATTCCATGGACCCAGGTACTAAGTCTAGGCAAAAATCCTCTTCTTCCTTAGTGTCAATCAAACCTATTTTCTACATAAATGCATGAAATTTCAGAGCACCAAAGGGATTTACATATAGCGTATTTTCCAATGTCTGTACTTACTGTATGTGACCTTATAATTTGGAATTTGAGTAGTATTATGTATACCAAATATGGAGTAATAAGAAAGAAATGGTTTCAATTAGGTCATACATTTAATGTCTGTTTTATTAAGTCTTCATATTCTAAATCTGTCTAATACTATATCCATCTGAAGATGCCATTTTATTGTATTTCAACAAATCAATAATTCTAATATATTATAAAACAGGATTTATTTCATGGAAATATGATATTCATTTCAGAAAAATTACCGCATACAAAGAGATCAAATGACTGGAGAAAAACTTTGCTTTATATCAAAAACTTTGTTTACAACCAGTTCTCTATTGTTCACAGGTCTAAACTTGAGCCAAAACCATTACTAAGAAGTCAGTCATGCAAAGAATGTATCATGCTGTAGAGCTCAATGATGTAATGTTTTCCAATACTAAAGGAAAAATCCAGAACTTTCTTTCCAAAGGGGAGGCTCAGTTTTCCATTAACTGTTGAAAGCTCTTATTTAACATAACCCTTTAGTGACCATATTGCTCACTCCATTTCAAAATGAAAGAGATCCCAAAGAAAATGGTGTTGTTTTTCTCTGAAGTTATAAGTGCAGCAGTAATGGTCAGAGAGCTTCTCAGATCAGATATAATGTTGCATGTGCATCACAAGCAATATGAGCATGTGAGCTACAGAGCTTGTTGAACGTGAATTGAGCAAGTACACCACAGCAAGGGAAGGCAGAGAAGGTGTGGAAAATGTATAGGTTTGTATTATTTCTCTCCTTTACTATAGTACAGTAATTTTTAACACTTTTTTTTTTTTTAGGTTTCAGATACCACTGAGAATCTCACAAAGACTATGTTCTTTCCTAAAAAAAAAAAAAAAGGCAGAGAATTCCTGGAGCTGCGGACCTTAGGGTAAGAACCCTCCTTCATGAATCAAATGATGTTATCCTCATCTAAAGGGAGATGAGAAGGGGAAAATGAAAGGTAGGTGTCTTATAGTGACAGAAAGTAAGTTTATAAAAAGAAGTGGGAATGTGTCAAAAGGATACAGGTAACACCTGGAAGAGGTTCCAGTGCTATATTCCAGAATAATTTTAACAAACAATAGAGTAAAATTGGGTTAAAATCCAAAGCACTGTAATCTAAAGTGTAAAATAAAAACCCATAGGTTCATACACCTGTATATGAATAGATGATTGAACAAATATATACATCATAGAGAATAGACAAATCTTCCACACAAGATTGCAAGTAATTGGTCTAGAGTCTCTGTTAAATTGATATAGTATAACTCCCCACTCCTACTGTGAGTAGGCACAGTGAATTCATTATAAGTAGCACAGTAGGGGAAGGATAAAAAAAGAGTAATTTTCACAGCCCTCCCTAGTGACGCAAAGGGGTAAAGCACAGCACTATGAAGCTACCACAGCTACTGCAGCACGAGTTTGATCCCCAGCAAGGGAGGCAACCCACACGGCACAGACCTCTCCTGTCTCGCCTGCTGCTCCCCTCATCTGTGTATTCCACTGGAACTGCTTGTTCTGCTCCCCACTCTGTGTCTGGTGAATCTTCTCACTGGCCCTGCACCTCTGGCTTGTACCCCAGTTCTGTATGGATAAATAAATAAATCTAACAACAACCAAAAACAAAAGTAACATTCATAGTTGGAAAATGGTCAATGAGTACCTCGCCCAGGTCATTAACATTAACCTCTATAGTGATAAATGCTATATGCCTTTAATATAATATGATGAAAAAAAGCATTTCAACACCTGTGGTCTTTGTCCCCAAAATATTCAACCTTATTCTAATCATAAAATCTCTGACAAATCCCAATGGTGGTCATTTTTAAAAATATCTGACTTGTACCCCTCAGCAATGTTATAATCATGAAAAGCCAAAATTTGAGAAAGTATCACAGTGAAGAGAGGCCCAAAGAGACAGGAGGACTATGGGGTCTGTAACTTGCTGACTATATTCTTGTAATGGACAAAGAGGGTTAAGTAAAAGCAAAGGAAAACTTTGGTAAAGTAGAACTTCAATAAATAATAATGTAGCAATATTGAGTCTGTAGTTATAAAAATATGAATCATATTAATTAGATGTTAATAACAGAGGAAACTAGGTGAGGATTATTGGAAACTTTGTAGTTTTCGGGCAACTTTTCTATAAACCTACAACTTCTAAGGTAAAATATTTGATGAAAAAAACAAGGACCAAAGACTGTACTGGACAATGACAAAGAAGTCATATGGGTGGAAAGTAAAAAATCTGAACAGCTATAGTG